AAACGTTATGCAGTTTCTTTCAAAATTATCGAACGTGATCAAAATTCTGTCAAATATAACGTTCGCAACAAACACATTGCACTCATTATAAATTATTGATGCAGCCAAACTTAAAGATAATTTTTGGTGGTCGAAATATACAAGACCTGGCAAATATGTTGGTATAGTGAGAGTGATTATAAACGGTAAGAGAATGAAGACAGCCAAACTTTTCTCATCATTTTCTGTCGATTTGTGCTCTTTTTTAATGGGTTATATTTTTAAAAAGTTATTTCTTAGGTGCTTTAAAATACATCAGTCGAAAAATATACTGAATTCTTCTTCTTGTTGAGAGAAGTTTTGAAATCAAGTCCTCTGGTGTAAACACTTTGACGTAAAACTTTAAATGAATTCAACTCCATTTGATTTGCACTGGTAGCCAACCAAATGTCCACCATAAGTACATATTATGCCTAATTATCCCCATATAATCATTTTTATAAATCAGAAGGTGCTGATTTGTATTTTACATGATCAAAGTCACTCCGAGGTTGCATTTTGGTGCATTTTATGAAGAACATGCCATATGTATACGTTCCTTGTTTCTCTGATGTGATTAAAGAAAATAAAACAAAGTCTTGATTTCAAAGCTTTACGTTTTGTCTGTCATGAATGTAACTTTATTTTATTGGAATCAAATAAATCCCAACATTACTTCTGACTCGCACCTGGAATCCCGTATTGTGTGCTGGGACTACGTGTACATTGTACCTGGTACCTATCATCAACGCATGTTTCTCCAGTAGTCAGTGACCTCTATACATAACCAATATAATTAACATACAATTCATACTGGGAACCAGATACCAAAAAACCAATACTGAGTCCATAGACTGGTGCAATCCGGTTCGTAAGTGACTTTGTTGTACCACTTATCGCAAGCCCCTCATTGGATAATCATGCCAGGTGAGCGAGTAGGGAACGGGAAGCAGTCTACCCTCGAACCGTTATCACCCCACGTGATAGCAGTTGATAGAAACGTCTTGGTGGACCGACCTTCTTAAGTCAAAAACTAGCTTTAATTGTTCGGTTTTTTTCACACATTTCAGGGGCTAGTAAAAATCTCTGCGGGCTAGTAAAAATCACAATTCACTAGCCCGGTGGGCTACTGTCAGAAAAAATAAAGGGCAAGCCCTAAGTACCCCCATGTACATGTACATCTACAGTATAGGGTTGGGACATTCAATGTACTGTACCATACGGTACATGTACACACGTACGTGTATTCAAGTTATCATACTCTCTCTGTCAGGTACAAAATCTGCCTGGCACTGTGGCAGGTACCTGTGCACGTACACTGTACATGTACATGTACATTAGCTGGCTGAAACTGCTGCAGTAGGGGATAAGGTGCTAGTTCCGTCTGTTAACTAAATATGGCCATTACGGAATCCTTCAGGACAGCAGGTCTGATGTTTAATCACACTGATCATGACCCTCAAGGGAGCTTCCAAGGAATGCCCTGAATTTTCACATGTGTTCATTTTGTTCTTCCTTCTCTCTGTTTCCCCCAGTAGACTCCAGGCCGCACAGACAGGCAGTTATTCATTATTCGCAAGCCTTGACCTCCTGTTGACCTCCGTCTACTACTCAACTGTTCAACCACGGGATCCCATTTGTAGCCAGCGATCAACTGAAGATGAAATGAATGCATGAAATATTTCAGACAGCTGTAATTTTCTCTATTCAAATGGAAATATTCTACGGGTGAAAATGTGATTGTGGTAACATTCTTACTGGAATTCTGTCAAACTAGGAAGATGGACTGTGTAGCCAGGGAAGGAATGCTTCATGTGTAAATAATTCTGTGGTAAGCTTTCAATTTGACATTGTTAATATTTATTTCAAAGATACATGTATCCACCTTTGTATATAGATTACAAGTAAATTACACGGGAAAAATTGATGCACTACCGCTAATTCAAGTATGCATACATGTACATACAGTCCTTGTACTTACTTGTGTGCGTGCATAATTTTGGTGATCTTATTTTGATATTGAAGTGACTTTTTATAATAACATCATTATGTTCAGACTGACCCCAGGAGACTGATGCCCATGTACAGTCTCCGTGTACCTGATACTCCTGTAGGTGTAAGGAGAGCAAAAGAGGAATCTTTTGTGTTGCACATGTACATGTATATTTATGCATGCATAATTTCATATCTCCATTGTAAGCTGGGCACAGTCTGCCAGACAGCCTACAGCCAAAATGAATATGGCAGGTTCCACAAAATATGGACCATTAGATAATGTTAACTTTGGGGGTTCATTTTCCTGAAGTGAACAGCAGTGCATTAATTCACATTGTCTAATGAAATGAGGGATGTCATGGCTGATACATATATGGAACATGGATGACCATGCCCATCTTTCAATTTAAGTAGAATCAATTAATTCAAGTCTCAAACGTACATGTGTAAGCATTTTTGGTGGACGTGAACAACCTGTAAATCCTAGCCAACTAAAAGTTACCGGGAGTAATAATTCCCACAATAATTTTGAACAGATTTGTATGTGGTGAAAGATGATGATATAACAAAACCATTACCTGTATCATAAAGTTAAACAACATATCGCACAAATTACTGGGTCCCGAAGTTGGCAGTGGCAAATGTCATTCGGTTCTGTCCAAAAATTGACCGCAAAAACCAGCATGTAAAATCAAAAAATGATGTGTAGTACCAGCTTAAGAAGACCGAAAATGGACCCCAAACCATCGTCCTTTTATGACTGGAATGATCACATTTTCTTCAAGTATGTTTCCATAAACTGTAGTCCAAAGTACTGTACTGATCATAGTGATTTTATGGCATCTGTCAGTATTTAGGGCAGCGGCACTGCAGAAACGTTTTGCTGCATTGTGGGCTGCTTGACCTTTGACATCAGCCCAGATAGTGCACCCTCTTTTTCATTCGATATTCATGAGCCCCTTCATGGAAGTGCGACACTCCAGAATTTCTATACCAAGGTTTTTGTTTTAAATCTGTCAAACTGAATGACATTAGCCAAAAACATTATGTGCAAGACATGAAATACAATTCGTGTGGGAAATCACATGCTCTGAGTTCTTAATTTTGAGTGGGGATATCTCAAAAATTCATGGCAGAGTGAGCAAAGTGCATTGAATTTTTGAGCACTACATACATGTACATGTACACATACGTCAGCATTTTCAGTACTGTCAAACGTCATGTAGTTTCTGTCCAAATTCTTGAACGTCATCCAAATTCTGCCAGATGTGGTGTTTACAAATGATTTCAAATGGTAACAAAATGAAGAGAGCCAAATCTTTCTTCGCATTTTCTGACACTTTGGGGTATTTTTTTTCATGGTCTTTAAAGGTCTTTAGGAGGGGCTCTGAAAGACACCCGTTGAAATACTGAATTTTCTTGGTTGAGGGAAGATTTCAAATCAAGTCATCTGGTGGGAACACTTTGACTTAAAACTTGATTTAAATGAGTTCAATTCCATTTGATTTGCACTACATGTAGTATTCCTAAATAATCACTTTCATAAATCTGAGGCTGCCCCGTATACATGTACCGGTACATGTTTTTGTACATGTGTACATGTATTGTTTATTTACCCAAACCTTACTAAGGCTGGTAATTTCTTGACCAGTTGGTGATTATGTCTGGATCCTATGCTCTGCAGATTATGAACCACAAGATCCTCAAGCAGCAGCTGTCTGCTTCATCAGTGGAGGACCTGACTAATGGAGGGGAGAGCTCCTCATCTAGGGGATCCACATTAACTGCGGTATGTGTAGCTGCATAGGCCATTTAGCATTTCAGGGATCCATACTGTCCAATGTAGTTATCCTGGAGAAGTTCTTTGTAACAAGGTTGCGATAATCCTTTTTTTTTCAAGGAAGTGACTAGATACATGTACTAACCCGTGAAACCTGGTCTGCTATTTTTCTCGAGGCTCTTAGAGGGTTCATGCTTGGACTTTGTTTCTGCATCAATTGAAAAAGGAAATCCCCAACACAATGATAAAATTGGAAAATGAATAGTACAAATGGGTCGGATTCGAACCAGGGTCTATTGATCTGTCGTTCAAATCACTACCAACTAAGCTACCGAAGCGACGTAATGGATTGCCGTTTTTGAAATGTCTTAAATGGTGTATTGCATTGTCCCCTCTTCATGAATCATTGGTCACCCCAGCTACTGAAAAAAAGTAGCGCACCAGGTTTCACGGGCTAGTACTAAGTCGCTTCCTTTTTTCAATGTGGTATCGCAATTTGCTACATTCTTAGTTTCAACAGAATCTGTGAGATTGGGGTACCCTAAACGCCCCTCCTCCTAGCCTGTGCTGAAGTGCTCAGGAGGAATACATGTAGGAATGAAGGTTTACAAATTATATCAGTAGTTTTCATTCTGTCTTGGAGGGGGTGTTGAAATTTGAGTGTGTATGATAACAGCCCGTTATCTGCTCCGAGCAGGAACAAAAGAGGACGTCTTTTGAAATGAAATTGACAGTCCTTTGGTACTTGGTGCATACATGTAGGTGCACAAGTTTAATGCTCGTTTGATGCGGAGCACGCTGAGTACAGTGTACATGCAACGATTTTAGTCTAGAATGTGTGGTCTTCGCGTGCACGCCGAACGCATGCAAGAATCCAGTTGGAAAACTTAGTACCATCTGTCTTTCTTTTGCTGGTGAGGGTGCACTTCAGCTCAGGAGGGATAATGTGAAGATTATTGTGTGTTACTTCTGCTGAGATGGTCAACCACAGAACTACATGTACAACTGTCATGTACATGTACATTTGCAGTACTGGCCACTAACCTGTACTTGTAAGACTCTGCTGCTGTATGTTATGCATACTGTGCACTGAGTAAGCATGTACAAGTTACTGCACTTCCTGCTTTCTTTTTGTCAGGAAAAGGACTGTCCTCAACCATGGAATGTCAATGAACCTTTCATTCTTTCATGTGTACACGTACCAGTATGCCATATTGTATCCTTCAAAGAACTGGGTAATTAGTGATCCAGTGATAATGTCAGTCACGTACCCTACCTGTTTGTGTAGGAAGGTAGTGCAGGAAAAACCAGAATAAGGTGTGACCATGTCAAATATCGTCTGAAGTTAATCATGCGTTTGTTGCATGCATCAGTGTACTGATACGTGTACTGTACATAATGATAATAATTATTATTATAATAATAAGAAGAAGAATTACATGTAGCTTTCCATGTCAACAACATCACAAAGCGTTGTAAACTAAATACCATTAAAAAAAACCCTCACCGAGCATGCCCAGTGGTACATGTAGACCTTTTTTTGCCATCTGTTCAGTGTTCATTAAACAGGAGTGTTTGATCAAAGTAAATTACATTTAGTTCAAAACTGCTTGTAGTTTCCTTCCCAAAACTGATTTTTCTGGATGATATGCACAATGCAATCAAGAGTGTTAAAATCTGTAAGTGCACATGTAATCATACTGTACAACCATGTACATGTCAGATACCGGTACGCACCGTTATGCACAGTGTATTTCTGTGGATTGTGGTACTTTTAAGGCGCTTGAAAATTGAATCTTGGAGCAGTAGCAATAATTGAATCTTTGAGCAGAAGAAATCTCTTCTGACCTCCTTTTAGCGAGGAGAATTACTAATATGGTACTTCCTTTCCCAAAGAGTCTATTTCCTCCCCACCTCAAATCGTTGGGTACTTCAGTGCATGTGTTTGATGGTACAACATGTACCAGTACATGTACATAATACAGAACCCCCTGTGCCCATTGTGGGAGTGGCCAGCACAGCAAGTCTGCAAAATCTGGGTACAAACTTCACTTTGCAGTTTTTTTGTATGCTCTTCCCTTTCAAGCTACATGTACATGTAGGTTCCTTTGGGCTGTGGTCTTTCACTTTTGGAATTACCGTATCAACATGCTGATGTGTGTGAGTGCACTTTGTGATTGTTTCAGTTGCCAGTTTCTGCTTTTTAAGAATGATGCAACTTGAGGATTTCACATGTTAACACTCCGGTATGAGTGATGTACATGTACTGTACATTTTGCCTTTGTTCCTTTACATGTACCGGTAGGTCACAACTTATATTTTGAGGATTATGGATTCTTTTACATATTTTAGCCAAATGAAAATAACAAAAATTTGGTTCACGTTTTTGGCCAGTGTTGCATTAATTAATTTTTTCCGCTCATCTCCTGATTGTTGTGGTGAAAGTGCTAGAAAATATGAACTGTGAAATTAATTTTATTAATTAATGAGAAGTATCAATTTCTCTCAAGGCATTGTGGTTTGTGGCTTGTTCCTTGTTTACATGCAGCAGTATACCAGTCCCACATGACAATATGACAATTTGTATTGCAAGACTTACATGTACATGTAGCTCTCATGAAATGTGGGCACATGCATCAAGACAAAATGCAGACTACCAGGCAGAGGAAGACCTCATGCATACACATGTACATGTATGTACCGGTACCCTGGTACTTGACTCTTATACTTTGTGGCCAGAATATCCTCCATTCTGAAACGTTCATCCAAATTTATAGCAGTTGTGCATAATTCTGCACCCCAGGACAGGAAAGAAACAGCGTGCATGTACATGTATATGTACATGTACAGTACATGTTCAGCTGGGCTTTCATGCCTGTGGTACCTGTGCAACTCACATGTATAACTCAAGTTCATGATGTGTATTATGATAATGCATAACCTCAGTGTCATGATATATGTCATTTTGCCAAAACGTGATTACCGGTACATGAATGTACATGTACTTGCACTACACTGTACCGGTATGTACATGTATGTTCAAGCTATATGAATTATTACATACAGACCTACATTTGTACTTAAGCAGAGAAGCTGATTCTGCAGTATTTAACATTGCTGTAATGGTCTTTGTACAAAATACCCCGGGCGGTACAGGTACATGTAATTCGTTAGCGTGTACATGTACATGTAATTCGTTAGCGTGTTCATGTACATGTACATGTAATTCGTTAGCGTGTACATGTACATGTAATTCGTTAGCGTGTACATGTACATGTAATTCGTTAGCGTGTACATGTTCATGTACCGGTTCATGTAATTCTTTAGCATTGTAATTTTTTTGGAAAATTCTGGCCTTTACTTTTAAAGTTCACATACATTTCTGCGGATTATTATTATTTTTGAATGGGTACCCAGCCCGAAAAAATGGAACCAGGTTTTGATACGGACGCGGCCCTTGTTACCTGGATGCCCAGGTTCCCAGCGCAGGCCTGTACCAGTACATGTACATGTGGATCTGGATGAATACTCTGTGAAGCTCTAAATGACAGTCACTCAGAATGCAGTGGCAATTTTGTAAAAATCAACTACCTTTGGTGCTTGATTTTTATTAGAGACTAAACCGTTTCATTTTTAATAATGCTTGCGTACATGTACATGTACATTGTGTACACATGTACATGTACGTAAGTACACATGTACATGTAGGCAAATACACATGTAGATGTA